ATGTGGGTCCCTAACCTCTGATTTGCACTTCCTGCAAGGGGTCCTGGAATGGTCAGGAGTGCCTTCTTGTGGATGCTGAGGCGCCTGCTATCCCCTCTTTTGGGGCTCCCCTTGCTCTCAGCTGCCCCTTGGAGGAACCTGCTGGTGGCGAAGCCATCAGTGGCAGACGCTATGGGAACTCCCTTTGGAGGGATGAGAAAGTTTCTCCCTTATGGAGCAAGAGTCTGGAGGGACGATGGGGACATCTGGGGCTCGGGAGAATTGTTCCAAGCAACTCAGAACTGTCGGGAGCCAACTTGGCAGAGCAAATGAAAGTACAATAGATAGCCAAAGCTATTAATCACTAATTAGTTCCTAAATGAGGGAAATAATGGGTGTTTAAATGCCATATTTATGAGATACCAGCAGGCAGGTCTTCAAAAAGCACATCTTTCCCAAAGCAACTGATTTGGCCAACAGTGTCCCGCTGGGAGACCAGGATTCTAATCCCACTCAGCTTCTGCCCCTTCCCCGCCCCTGGCCCAGGAGCCTGAGAGCGGGCAGGTCGGCCTCCTCCCTCAGCTTCCCTTTCTCACCTGCAACCAGGGACCAGGGCCCTTCTGCCCTGACCTCACTGGGCTGTTGTGAAGACAGGAAGAAGTGAAGGCCATGGGAATCCCTGGTAGTGGCGGAAAATGCTGCACAGAATTGAGTAAGAGCCCTGAAAACATCCTTGAAGTGGTGAGATTCGGCCCCTTGATGGCACGCAGTGCGATTTGTAGCTGGGGCCAGGTGGAAGCTGGAGCTGGAGCTGGAGCCCTTGCTCGGCAGGTGAGGGGTTTGCACTGGGGCTGTGCCTGGGTAAAGGCTCAGTTTTTGGCTTGGTCTGAAATTAGCGCCCTAGCTTGGTTTAAGATTAGGGTGGTCACCCGGGCTGCAGCTGGGTCTCAGCTTGTCCGGTGATTGTGGCTGTGACTGGGTCTGTGGTGAGCTCAAGGTTCAGGCTGTGACTGAGGTCAAGGTTGGTGGCTAACCTCAGGATAATTGACAGCCTGGAGACACAGCCTTAATCCTCAAGTCCAGCCCCGGACTCATGGAGCTGCCTGGTCGCCTCAGAAGCTGGATTTCTTTCGAGCCTTTCTGGACCTGGGCTCCAGGTGCTGGGAACCCCAGCAGGCAGGCCCTTCTGGGACTCCTGGCATGTCCGCTGAAACAGCCTAGCACACAAGCTCATTAGTGGTGCATATACCAGTTTGGGAGATAGTTAGGAGGTGTTTCTATAGCAACCAACCCCCAACCAGCACTGGTTTTCTTCAATAATGCCTTTTTCTGGAAGCCGTGTCTGCTGGCCTCTCCGCCCTCCCTGGGCTGGTCCCACAGTCCCCTGAAGCCTGAGCATGGGCTGGTTGGCCTGGGTCGGTCTAGCTCCCACACTCATCCTGACCCAGGGAGGGGGCCCTCCTGAGGTCTGCCCCGTGTGTGCAGGACTGTGCTGAACATAACAAGAGCTCTCCCCGTGCCCCTCCCTGGACTCTATGGGGCTGCGGGCCTGGGGGTGGTCCTGCCAGGCACTTGCCGGCCTTCAGGGAGCCCGCAGCCCAGTGGGGCAGGCGGGCCTGGACCCGGTCTGGGGGTAGGTCTGGGGGTAGACACTCTGGTGAGCACAAGCAAAGGGCGTGTGGCAGCACGAATCCAGGTTTGGGGGCACATAGGACATGGCCCCAGGAAGCTGTGCTGGGAGAGAGGAGAGGAGGACTGGCCTCGAACCAGGAGCAGCCCGTGGGCCCCGGGGGACAGACACTCCCCGCCTCAGGAGAGGAGGGCGGTTCCAGTGTTGCCCTCTGAGCTCCCATTCCAGGGCCCTGAGGAGGAAAGGGGATCACCCCTGGGAGCTTCCATATAGGGAAGGACCAAGGAAAGGCCCGTGGGTTATCATGATAATTTGTGTTATTTAACAAACCCTCTTATAGCCTGAGTGCCAGGCGTTATGCTAAGCCTTTTTCAAGTATTCATTCATTTAATCCTCATAGCAACCCTATGTAAGGACTGTGATTACTCCCATTTTACAGAGGAGGAAACTGAGGCACGGGGTAGTGTAGAGTGACATTTACTGCGATCATCAGTTGATCAGTGGCAGAGCTGGGATTTGAACTAGCTGCAGGTTGGGGTGGGAGTGGCCCACGTGAGAGAGGATGTGGGCCAGGCGTTTGGAGGAGCGGTGGAGAGGAGGAGGGCCGTGGGGTCGCCCTGCCTGCAGGAGCCTCACACAGATGCCAGGCAGCTCACAGTCCACATGCTGCGTGTGGGCCGCTGGGATGCCAGGCCGGACTTGGGAAGCAGTGAAGTGTGATCTGAATGTGCGCTGTGAGGCTGTGGATAAATGTGTGTGTCTGTGTGTGAGGTTCTTTGTGAGGCTGTGCGTGAGCTTGTATATGTGCTGCGTGAGGTTGTGTGTGTGGCTGTACATGAGGCTGCGTGTGTGAAGCTGTGTGTTCCAGGCTGTGTGTCTGCATGTGAGGCTGTGTGTGCGTGTGTTGCTGTGTGTGACAGAGACAAGAGAGGAGCTGTGGGGCCTGCCCGGAGGAGCCTGCATGCGAGCAGCCCCGCGCTCTTCGCCCTCCCAGCACCGATCCTCCTCTGACGCACACATCACTTGGGTCCAGCGGGCCTGCCAGGATGTGGTTTCCGACACAGCCTCAGGCAGGGCCCGGCACAGAAGCTGTGGCCACTGTCACAGGGGGCAGCCTAGCGTGGGACACCCAGCGTGGCCCCTTCAGAGGCACCTTGTGGCCCTTGGCGGTCTGGGAATTGGTGGGTGTTACCGGAGCCCCTCAGGGTTGTGGCTGTCACAGAAGACACCCCTGTTGCCTCCCTTGCACTGATGAGCCAGGCTTCTTACTTTACTCTCAAGGAGAAAGTTCTAGATCCAGCTTCTCCTGGAAGTGACCTGATTGCTTTGACCTGTGTCTGTTCTCGCTTCCACCCTGCCCCAGCCTGGCCAACCCTGCTGGCCCTTTCTTTGAGGCTCAGCTCGCCCCCGCCCCCGCCTTCCCTCTGGCAGGGTGTCTGCCCAGGGAGGTGCCATCCCCGCCTGTGGGGTGCAGGGTGTGTGTGCCTTTGAGCTCAGGGGTCAGGCTGTCTGCTTCTTATCTGTCCTGTGCTCTGTGCAGGGGTGGCACAGGACTGGGGCCCAAGGCTGGCACCCCAGGGGCAGGGACTGATCCAGTTCAGCTCTATTCCCAACTCTCTCCTCTCACACCATCTGGCCCAAGGTCTGGCCCAGGAAGAGTCGGCCAATCCCTGCATCCCCCACTCTGCTGTGCCAGGGCCTTTCTCACTGTGCCGGAGCGGTCCCCTCAGACTGGACTCCTGTGAGCAGGCTGGCGGCCTCCTCCTGCTGAGGCTCTGGCCCTCAGGCTGGGGCTTCCTGGGGTCCTGGTCCAGGGCACAGCAGCCACTGTAGGCTCCTGTCCGCTGGTCCACCTGCCTGTTCCCATGTGCCTGTGTGCCAGGGCTGCGTTGGGGAAGGTGGGCATGTGTGGTGGGGGGCCTGGGCCAGGACCTCTAGCTGCCCCTTCTGTGGGTAGGCCCAGGCCTGTGACCAGGTCCAGGAGACCACACTGGACCTGCAGGCGGTGGGTGCGTGGGCCAAGAGCGAGAGGGGTGTCTCCAGCTTGGAGCTCCACGGGAGATTGGAGGACCGTGGGCTGGGAAGGGTCATTTGTTTCTTTCTGGACTGCTGGTCAGGGTTGGAATAGTCCTCTGTTTCTTTTATCCTGATTTTTGAGTTTTAAAAAAGTGGGGTGGGGAAGGTGGGACAGAAGGACAATCTGCTAGAGGGCGGAGCTGGACCTCTGAAGGTACAGAAGGAACTGGAGCCGTGGGGCAGGCCCGCGGGGCGCAGGCAGCCGCCAGAGCCCTGCCTAAACCTGGATCCTGCAGCTGGCGGGGGGGGGCGCTGCCGCCTCCCGAGTTCCAGGCAGTGCTGCCCGCTTCAACTTCCTAACAGTGAGGCGAGAATTAGGATACCTACTTTACAGATGAGAAGAGCAAGGCACAGAGAGGTTAATTGCCTTCGGGTCACAGACTAGTAAGTGGCAGCCTTAAATCCAGGTTTGTGTTGCTCGAAAGCCCGTGTCCTCACTTTTCTGCTAAATTTTCACCCACGGCCGGCATCTGATTTGTGTGTGTGTGTGTGTGTGTGTGTGTGTGTGTGTGTGTGTAGAAGAGCGGGGATGAGGGAGAGAGTACCTGGGCATGTGTGTGTCTCAGGGGTGGGCTTTGGAAGGGAAAGGGGTGGATTGGGGAGGCTCATACTTGCTAAAAAATGTGGACACACATTTGGATTTTCACACAGATGCCAGGATAATCAGACACTAATTTTCAGACATGCCGGGTGGATGGTTCTAGAACTGGGACAACTGCCTCCCAGGGCGAGGGCTCTGGAGAACAGCCAGGGGCAGACCTCCGGCCCCTTGCCCAGCTGGCCAGCAGCAGGTGGGAGGGTTGGTTTGGCCAGTAGCGGGGAGGATAGCTGGGACGCCCGTGCGGAGCAGCGATGCAGAGCGCCCGGCACGGCGGTCCTGAGCACAGACCTGCAGTCAGGCGGATCTGGGTTCAGATCCTACCTCTATCACTGACTAGCTTTATGACGTTGAGCAAAAGACTTCCCGTCGGTGAGGCTTTGTCTCCTCAGGTGTGAGATGGGGATTCATGACATCCAGTCCAGAGGGCTTGGTTAGGATAGATAATACCTGTGAAGCAACGGGCAGAGTGTACTTACCCAGCAGATCATTTTTATTAACTTGCTTGTCTGCCAAAAACACTTCTTGGCCCTATTCCCGCTGGGGCTGCCAAGTGGACACAGAAGAACCAGAGAGATGGAGGGCAGGGGCCCACCTCAAGGGGACTGAGCTTCTGGACCTTTCCCTTGCTGCTTGGGGATTGTAGTGCCCACCTTTTCTGATGCTCAAGACTGTGTGTGGCCTTTAGCACACCTGACCTTGTCCCCTGCCCCTCAGGAGAGTTCCTGACCCTCTTGGGCATCTGTGCAGCATTTTCCGCCACTACCAGGGATTCCCATGGCCTTCACTTCTTCCTGTCTTCACAACAGCCCAGTGAGGTCAGGGCAGAAGGGCCCTGGTCCCTGGTTGCAGGTGAGGAAAGGGAAGCTCAGGGAGGAGGCCAACCTGCCCACTCTCAGGCTCCTGGGCCAGGGGCGGGGAAGGGGCAGAAGCTGAGTGGGATTAGAATCCTGGTCTCCCAGCGGGACACTGTTGGCCAAATCAGTTGCTTTGGGAAAGATGTGCTTTTTGAAGACCTGCCTGCTGGTATCTCATAAATATGGCATTTAAACACCCATTATCTCCCTCATTTAGGAACTAATTAGTGATTAATAGCTTTGGCTATCTATTGTACTTTCATTTGCTCTGCCAAGTTGGCTCCCGACAGTTCTGAGTTGCTTGGAACAATTCTCCCGAGCCCCAGATGTCCCCATCGTCCCTCCAGACTCTTGCCCCATAAGGGAGAAAACTTCTGCTGCCCCACTGAGCTCCCTCAGAAAGGTATGGGGGCCGAAATGAAACCACAGCTGTGGGAGGCGCTGGGGGGCGCTGAACCCCAGGAGGGAGAGGACAGGAGTGTGCAGGACACTGACTGACCCTCGGTCCAGGGGCCGTCTTGGTTTACCTCCTTTATGCCAGGACAAGGTCTCAGGCTTGGTTAACAGATGTGTTCTTTTTGGCAGGTGGCCCTACCCCGGGTGGCGGTGCCCCCTGGCACCTTCGAAATGTCCTCAATGACTCAGTGGAGAGCTCGGATGATGAATTCTTTGATGCTAGAGGTGAGTGAACACCATCTTCCCATCACTGGCTGGCTGATCTTTCTGGGAGCCCCAAGAAAGAATCCCCACTGGGGGTCATCACGTCTCCCTGCTCAGACACTGCAGTTCCACTCTTCACGCTTGTTCAGGCTGGGGGCTCCCTGGCGGCTGGGGCTCAGCGCTTGCTCCCGCACTCTCTGGGGTGTTTGCTGAGCCCCCAGTATGTTCCAGGAGCTTTGCGAGGCGTGCCTGGTACTGCAGTAAACCTGTAGGCACCCTCCGCACCCTCGTCCAGCTTGTAGTCAGGTGGGGGGAGAGGCAAGAGTTAAACAGGTACCCAAAGGGGGATGCAATTACATATGAGGAATGACGCCACCGAGTAACAAGTACTCGTAGAAAGAGTGAGGCAGGGGTCACCTAAATGTGGTTAGGGTGGGGACATTGTCAACATCCTCTCTGCAGAACGGAGGGAAGGAATTGGCTAGGTGAGGAGTGGGAGAAAGCGCCTTCTAGACAGGAAATAGGTAACATGGCGCTGAAGCAGGAAAGATGGGGGCATCCCAGGAACTGAAGGGGGCCCTTGCGGCCGAGGGGAGAGGAGAAATGAGGGTGCCTGGGATCCAGTAGGTGACTTCAGAGGTGAACTGTGACAGAAGTGGGGAGCAGTTGGAAAGGCTGCCGCAGCTGCTCCGTGAGAGAGGATAGGATGGTGGGCAGGATGTCCGCTCTGTGCCCCCGGGCTGAGTCCCGGCCGGCACAGAGGACTTAGCCAGGGGCACTCTTTAAGTGGCTATGGAAGAACAAGAAGCGCTGTGGAAATTGGAGGTCCCCAGTGGGGTGCTGCCAATGGGGCAGAGCAATCAGCCTGAGCAAAGGCTCTGAGGGGAGAACATGCAGGGCAGGGGGTGGGGACCGCGGGAAGCTGAGTCGGTGTGGAATTCAGGAGGACCCTCCCGGCTGTGCTCCCTGGGCTGTGGGAGTGGCTGAAACGAACTAGGGCACCCGCTCTCTGACCCAGGAGGTTCCCGGTTCTCACTTGGCTGGCTTGTTCACGCTCTGGGAAGTCGACCTATTTGGGAGGTTCACGTCCTTCCGAGGCAAAGCCAACTTTGAAATGCCTGTCAAAATGGGGTCTTGAAAGAGAAACAGACTGTGCTGGGGAGACGTCTGGACCCAGAGAGGCATGTGGGGACATGGGCTCATCCACGCCATTGACTTGTTTGTGATCTTGGGCAAGTCTTTTTCCCTTCTCTGGGCCTCAGTTTCCCTAGTTGCTCTACGCCTCCAGAAATGGAGAATACCCAATTCAGGTGATTTTTGGGAAGCACAGCTGGATGGTAGGATGCTGTCTGGCTCCAGCCTCCCTCATCCCTGGCTCTGAGAAGAGAAGCCCCTCCCCAGTGCCAACCCTGAACCAGCCCACTGGGGCTCATTTGCTGTCTCCCATTGGAGGCTGCCAGGGCTGAGTTCCTCCATAGCAACTAAGCCACAGTGTGACAACAATGGCTCCAATATTTTGATGCTTCGAGCACATTCATTTAAATATTTGTGCAGTTCGTTAAGGCTCCTCATTCCCAGATGATGGTGATGGCTCGCTGCGGGCGGCCTGTGTGGGTGGCACGGGTCAGCCCCATCTCCGTGCCTGGGGCTCTGCTCACCTGCTTCCCCTGCGAGCAGCTGTGGACACACATGTCTGCTCTCCTCCCTGCTGACGGCTGCCTCCTTGGGCTCTCTGTCCTCCCCTCCTCCCGTGATCTCAGTGCTCGGTCTGCGGTTCCCAACTGACCTCATCCCTCACTCCTCTCTTGTTGGAGGCCCCACCATCTCCCTCCTTTTATTTCACCTCCCATGCCCCTCTCCACCTCTGGCGTTCTTTCTCTTCACTGTCCCAGGATTCCAGGCTCTCCTGGCTCTTTCCCTACCTTGTACCCCTCTGCACTCTCCACCAGCCTGGAGTCTCTGCTCCCTCCTCCCATCTCATCCCTTCCAGAGCATCGGTGGCCCCCAGCCACAGGAGCTGCTCCACAGGCTGCTGGAATCCTCGTTAGTTCCCAGTTGCCAGCTCCAGACCCTTGTCTGTTCCATGCGGCCTCCCTGTGCCAGGCCTTTGTGTGTTTTCTTGGCTCAAGGCCGTAAGAGGTGAAGCAGCCATCTTCCTCTCTGCTCCCAGGAGTTGGTACAGGCTCCACCCTCTTTCAGCATCAGGACTGGGTCATGGGTATCCAGCTTCCCAAACATTCTTTGAAGGGCCACCTCCCTGGCCTCTTTTCTCTGGCCAGGCTGAGCCCCAACCCTGGCCGGGGGGGTGGTCTCTGTCCCCTCTGTCCCCACCTGAGCACGGCCCTGCATCTTGTGGCCTCTGGGATTCCCACTCCCGCCGTGATGGAGCTGCATGGTAAGTGTCGGCACTGAGCCGGTCCTGGAGCAGCGTGTCCTTCTCCTCGGTGCCCTGCTGGGGAAACTGAGGCCAGGCCATGGAAGGGACCTCCCAAGATCACACATCAGGGTGGAAATGAAAAAGCTGGAACCCAGGACTTGAATGTTCAGGTCTTATTACTGAAAGAAAGACTTTTTTCCCCGTTCTTTTCTTTTTAAAAAAATTTTTTTTTAAACTTATGCACTTTATTATTTTTTTAAAGATTTTATTTATTTATTTTTAGAGGGGAAGGGGAGGAGAGAAGGAGAGAAATATCAATGTATGGTTGCCTCTCATGAGTCCCCTGCTGGGAATTGGCCTGCAACCCAGGCATGTGCCCTGACTGGGAATCAAATCTTGATTGTGTGGTTCACAGGCCCGTGCTCAATCCAGCTACACCAGCCAGGGCCTTTCCTTTCTTTCTTAAGCACCAGCCTACTGGCCCAGCATTGGGTTTAACCTGGTGATATGCGAGACCCTCATGGCTCCTGATCTGGCAGCAGAGGGAGGCTCCGCGGCTCTGGGGCTCTGGCTGTGTATGGAAGGCGGAGGTGGGGTGGGGGTTAGTCAGGCAGGAGCATGGAGCTGTCTGCATGATCGCAACCCCGGGCAGCATGCTGGCTCCTGAGGCCGAGGCAGCAGGCCTGGGGCCTCAGGGAGGCTGACTCCCCTGGTTGGGTGCTGCAGGGCGGGCAATGGGGTCCAGGGTTTGGGGTCCGGACTCAGAAGAGGTGTCACTCTCCCTCCTGTCAATGTAGCAAAAGGACATCTGGGGAGCCATGGCCTGGTCTACCAAAGTTGGGGGCAGAGTGAGTACACGTGCCTCAAACCCAGACCATGTCAGAGCTGGGGGGCCCTCAGGTTTTAAGTTCAATGTCCCATCCCATTTACAGGCTGGGAAACAGGGACCAGAGAACTGGGAACTTGCTCAGGGTCACACAGAGTCAGAGGGAGCAGGGGCTAGAATTCCGACTCTTTCATTCACTCGTCAGGTGTTTGCTGTGTATCTGCCCATCAGGCATCAGGCAGTGTTCTAGGGGTTGGGGATCCAGGGGCCGAGAGCTCCGGTCCCAGCCCTCAGGGGGCCTGCCGTTCAGTGTGATGGGTGGTGGGTGGTAAGATAATGCCCAAGTACGTAAGTTATGTTGATAATTACTATAAATAAAATAACATAAAGGAACAAACATCTCAACAAAGAAGATCTATGAATGACAAAAAATCAAAATAAACTCAACATCATTAGTCATTAAATGCAAATTAAATGCAATTAAAACCACAGTAAGCTACTACTACACACCTATTGAACAGCTAATTTAGTTAACGAATCAGGATATGGAAGAATGGAACTTTCAAACTCTGTGGATGGGAATGCACAATGGTACGGCCATTTTAGAAAGTTGATTTTAGCTTCTTAAAAAGTTAATCGAAGTTGCCCAGGCCAGGTGGATCAGTTGGTTGGAGTATCGTCCCATTCACCAGAAGGTCATGGGTTCAGTTCCTGGTCAGGGAACATACTAGGTTGTGGGTTCAATCCGGAGTCAGGGTGAATACGGGAGGAAACTGATCGATGTCTTTGTCTTTCTCTGAAAGATCAATAAGTCATATTTTCAGGCGAGGATTAAAGAAAAAGAAGTTAATCAAAGTTAAGTAACACATCAGCCAGCTCTCCACTCCTAGGTAATTTACTCAAGAGGAAAGAAAGCATCAGTTCACCTGAGACATGTCCATGAATGCTTATATAGCTGCTTTATTCAATACAGCCCCAAACCGAAAACAACTCAAATGTAATCAAGGGGCGAACAGATAAACAAACTGTGTTATATGTTCATGCAATAAAATACTACTTGGCAATAAGAAGGAATGAACTACTGATACAGGCACCGTGTGGACGGATCTGAAAATAAGCAAGCTGGATAAGGAGTCAGGTGGGGAAAGAGTACGTGTTGTTTGGTTCCAGTTCCGTACGGCTCTAGAAAATGCTGATGAATATGTAGTAACAGCTGCAGGTCAGTGCTGGCCGGGGGCAGGAAGGGGGGCAGGGAGGGGAGAGGTGGGGCCAGGAGAGAACTTCTGAGGGTCATGGATACACGTTCCCTGTCTTGATTGGGGCGATGGTTTCACGTGTGTGTACATATGTCAAAACTTACCAAACCGTACATTCTATGTTTTATTTTATTTTTTAAATTTGAAGATCTAATTGGTTTTATTGAACAATTCATGAATTGGGCAGCCCATCTAGTAAGTAGGAGAGAGGTGCTCCCTCAAAGTGTGTGTTTTAAATATGTATACTTTACTGAATGTCGATCACATGTCAGTAATACTGTTTTAAAAATGGAGGACCTCCCTCCACTGTAACACAAGGGAGTGTGGTAGACTGGTGACTGTGGGAGGCCCCCAGATGTGGCCTTGAGCAGAGAGCTGAATAACAAGAAATGAAGCGTGTGAGCACCTGGGGCAACCAACACTGTTCTGGACAGCGGGACCGGCCAGCACAAAGCTTTCACCAGGAGTGAGCAGGAAGGCGGGTGTGCCAAGAGTGAGCAAGGGGGCGCCCACTTAGTGCTGCTGGCCCGCCGCCCCAGTAGGAGAGAGAGCAGGCCGGACC